TTTAGTTACGTATTCTGTACATTCAGCGGAGTGGACTGTGTATACCTACTGTAGGCTCAAGACGACAGCATCTGCTGGTGAGTACAGTACTGTACAGTAGTTGTAATACATTAATTTGTTTAATTTATGTACAATATATTGTATTATGTACAGTGGTATTTGCGTAAATAAATGATAAACTCTTGTGTCTGTCCGTGCGAGATGTGTAGATCCATGGTTTAGACTGGAAAACTTTCCCCGGATTGGAAAATCCCAGTCTCATATATATATATATATATATATATATATATATATATATATATATATATATATATATATATATATATATATATATATATATATATATATATATATATATGTGTGTGTGTGTGTGTGTGTGTGTCACTGTAGGTGCGCGTGATCCAAGTATATGCTGATAACCACAAGGAAACAAGAAAACACGAAGTTCCCAAGCACTTTCGTGTAATTCACATCTTCAGGGGTGAGTACAGACTAAGGAGAAGTACTTGACAAGGCTAATATATACAGTAGAGGATAGTGAGATCAAGTCCCTAGGGGACAGCGGGCGTCCACAATGTTCCGGTCATAAGGCAGTGACCGTTACTAATCTTAATAAAAAAAAAAGATTAGTAAGGGTTGGGTCACTGCCTTATGGCCGGAACATTGTGGACGCCTGATTAAATTAAGTTTACCAATTTTTTGTGTCTTCGTGACACCAAATACTAGTCGAGAAGTGATTGGCAGTCCGATTTATTCATGTAGGACCATTATTTGACTTCATTGTGGCTACATTGGGGTAATTACTCGCTCCCTCGGTACATGCACTCGATCTATTAACTCAGGTTAAATCAAGTTTACCAAATTTTTGTGACTTCGTGACACCAAATAGTAGTCGAGAAGTGATTGGCAGTCCGATTTATTCATGTAGGACCATTATTTGACTTCATTGCGGCTACATTTGTGTAATTAGTCGGACCCCTTGAGTGGTACTTTAAAAAAATGAATCTTGTTTAAAATCTCAATTAAGGCCCATCCACACGATCGAGCAGTGCCCAGCGGGCACGCGCTAAATGCCAGTTATCGGGCAAAATTGGCAGGCAAACCAGCGGAGAGACCGTGCCCAGCGTTGAGCGAAATCATGGTCCGCCTGCCTGGTGGTTTGCTGCCAAATATGGAGCGACGACTTTAAGTACTGCAAATGTGATACGTATATGTTCCCCGCTCGGTCCAGATGTCCAGTGTATAACCAAATAAGCTTATGCAATGTACATTATTGGCGTGACAATAAACGGGAGATTGTTTATGTAATGAGGACATTCGTGTGTTCTTCGTTCCTGCCGCTCTCCTCACTCTAGTCCCATAGCTTCCTCTCTATGCATATCATAATTCTAACATTATTCAATAAATTTTTATGTACTACAAATCTCACCTGCAAGTAATCTTCCTTGAGTACTTCATACATGGCTTGACAAGTTGCCGGTATTATGCAAGACAAACTTTGTTTTGATATCCTCGTTCTATACCGAAGTGACGTGTAGGTGCACCCAGTTGAAAGATATATGAGCGTTGCCTCTAGACGAGCCTCTGCTCGTGTTGGGGTCCATTCTCATGTAATTGGTGAAGTCTTGCTCATGTCCATCTTGCAGTTCACGTAAAATCGTGGCATGACTTCCCAATACTTTTCTTCGACCTAACCACTCTTTGCACCATTCCCTTTTCTGCATTTGGTTCTTCTTTTTGCACATAGCAGCAATTATTATAGTACACAACGCTATGCTCTTCGCTTCAACTGTCCGGCGATTATTCCTGCGACACACCATGGTGATCGTACCGCACCCGCCACTGCCGACCACCTACTAGCTACCGGCGCCCGACTACGACTGCTGCCAACCAGCACCTCCCTGTGTACAACACACAGGCTTTGCCCGCTTAACTGGCAAATCCCGCCGGGCACTGCTCGATCGTGTGGACGGGGCTTTACTCTTTCAAGAACATGATTGAATTTCTGAGTACAGTCGTGTAATTGGTGTGCTACTGACCTTTGGCACATCACCTTATGTTAATGCATATTTTTGCTTTGTTTCTTTGTGGTTCATCATTCTATTTTCAGATATTTACAACACTCCTCTTCCTTTATTTAAGCTATATTTTCATTTTGTCTACTAATTTTCATAATTTTTTTCACATTTCCGTAAACTTCGTGTACACACTTCTATATTTATTCGCCAATTCTTATAACTTCTGAATTGCTCACCAAAGGATTACCATCTGCCAAGACTAGCTGACTCGCCTCTCAATTGCATGTATTTTCAATATTTACCAGAAAGGTACTGGTATTTCTTTTTATTATCACCATGGCGACATTATAGACCCTCAATACTTTAGCTGTAGTTCTACCTTCCTTGATAACCAGTTCCCCTCTTCCCCCAAAACACACATGCTTCAAGCCCTCTAAAATCTCTGGACAGTAGTCAAGCTTCCCACTTAAACTTTTTCAGTACTTTGTGGGGAACAGGTTGTTTGGTTCACACTCAGGATGGGATGGAGACAGGAAACTCACAATGTGTTCTCTGTATACATGTTGTATTGGATGTACAATGCAGCTTGGTGCTGGGAAGGCAGCATGGTTACAAGCATTGAGTAGAGAGAGCTGGTTGGTGAGGATGCTCAGAGGAGGACAAGCTTGTGGGTCGCCATGCTCGCCGGCGGGAGCGAGGGCCGCCAGGCAGCGGCGGAGGAGGAGGTGTTGCTTTCTGCGGCTGTAGCTAGAAGAGGTGAGTGGTCACCACGAGGTCAGGTCTATTATAGCGGAGGTAGGCGTGGCTTAATAGTTGACCTCCGTCATGTAAGGCGGCGCTGGTTGACCTAGACACGAGGCATACACTGGGGAATTCGCGGGGTCAGCTACTCAGCGACAAACAGCGTTTGTAGGGGAGGTATCCACTACAGTACTCCCCCCTTCCCTCAGGCGGTGTAGGAGACTTGTTGTCTGCAGGGTTGCATGGCACATGTGAGGCAGAACGGGCGGTGCATGCCACATGTGAGACATAACGGCGAGGGTGTAGATGAGCCGGCCGCTAGAGGAGACAACTGTCTAGATACACAACATCTGTGGGAGAAAAGAGGCGGGAGGAGGGTTGTGGAGGCAATGAATGTTGTGCTTCCCTCGAGACAGGTACAGAGTCCTCAGATGCGCCTACTGGGGTGTGTGGGCCTGAGTCAGGAGCAGGGGCTGCATCAGCAGGAACGGAGGAGAGTCCGTGACAGCAGCTGGGTCCACGACAGCAGCAGGGTGCAGGACAGTAGCAGGGGGTACCTGAGGGAGAAAAGAGGGGTGTGTGTGTCCGCGTCTGGAGGAGCGGCAGGGGGTACTGCTGGGCCGGGGCGGCGTCTGAGGCAGGACGGGTGTGTTGGGGTCGGTAGGACGTGGTGCTTGGGGCAGGAAGAGGAGCTGGTGTCTGCTTAGAGAAGCAGTGCTGCTCTAGGGTGTCTAACCTGCGGTGTAGAGACAGTAGCTGTAGAGCTGATTAGAGCTGCTTCTGGGTGGATAAGCCAGTCTTCCATGTTGCTTGAAGACTGGGAGCATGATCTGTTTCTCCTCCATCCTGTATGAGTGCGAATCTCCGGGTCACCATTTGTGGGGTACGGGTTATTGGTTCACACTCAGGATGGGATTGGAGGAAGGAAACTCACAATGTGCTCTTTGTATACATGTTGTATTGGATGTACAATGCAGCTTGGTGCTGGGAAGTGGCAGCATGGTTACAAGCGTGATGTAGAGAGAGCTGGTTGGTGAGGATGCTCAGAGGAGGACCAGCTTGTGGGTCGCCATGCTCGCCGGCGGGAGCGAGGACCGCCAGGCAGGAGGAGGAGGATGTGTTGCTTGTTAGTTGGTGTAGGTAGAAGAAGAGAGTGGTCACCACGAGATCAGGTCTTATATAGCGGAGGTAGGCGTGGCTTAATAGTTGACCTCCGTCATGTAAGGCGGCACTGGTTGACCTAGACATGAGGCATACACTGGGGAATTCGCGGGGGTCGGCTACTCAGCGACAAACAGCGTTTGTAGGGAAGGTATCCACTACAACTAAATTGCTTTTTCCAGTATATCACATACTGTACTATACTCTTCTAAATACTAAAAGGAGAAATAAAAGTAAAGATACTGGAGTGCTCTACACACTTTAATTGGTTTGTCACCAAGAACACATCCCTGTAATCTAGTAACCTCTACAAAACCATTAAAATAAAATCCTCACCGAAATGATTACATCTTACAATGTGATGCTCATCTGAGGAACCTACTTCTTTATCAGTTACATTCAGAATAATCTTTTATTGCTGTTCTGCATATCCAATAAATAACTTTATCAACTGAAAAGTATAAGCAGAGGCAGATAAAGTGTATGAAGACTTCTTTGGTCAAATAAGCAGTCCACTTATAATTGCTTGGTTGTATTTAACGAGTGGGTGGACTCCGTTTCAGCAAGGCTCAAGGTGTGTGTTTGGGAGGGGGGGGGGCACACATCTAGCCTTACTCAAACAAGTCACTTACACACCTAGATACAAACTTTGCTATTCCCCCCCCCCACCCCCAAATCGAGTGGTTGAACATTGTACACTGCTCCTTACAACTAAGCATTTCAGTCTTCTGCCCACCAGCAGGAACATTATATTTTTCATTAAATTTTTTTTGTCACTGCATATTTATCACCAAGAGGAGCACCCCCCCCCCCAGCATACTTCACCTGATACATCCTAACCCAACCTTGAGAAAAAAAGCTTAGTAATTCCTGGGCAACATATCCCTATTCCACAAGATTTTTTTTATTTATCTCCAAAATCTTTATTCCTTGCAATAGCCTATTACTCCAATTGATCTTAAAATTCTGACCACTTGCAAATCAGATATGACTAAGTCAGCAACTCATCACAGACTTAAAACACAAAAGAATACACTTGAGTACTGTCTAATGTAAAAGGAGGTGAATGATATGCTCTTCGAAAAATGTTCCTTTATTTATTATGGAGAACCTGTACATGACACTAGTGCAGCATATCCATCTACCAATGGGGGACATTGATGACAAGCTTTATGGAGGAATTTCATTGAACACTGGGACAATATATCTATATACATCATGGTCACCTCCATAATAATTAAAAAATATGGAAATGTGGTATGAGAATGGTTTACATAAGTTACGTAATCCTTTCTCAAGTTGACATTGGCTTATATATACACTGGGAAACCAGAGTGTACTTTCATAGTAAGCACAGAGTTGGGGAGTGATGTTTAATATACATAATATGAAGATAAATTTTTATCCAACTTATACCCCGACTTTCAAGCCACTCAAAGACAACACAAGGACATCCTGTGATTTTACCTAGACCTCGCTCACTCTTAAATTATTTAACCCTGGAAAGTGGAAATGAAATCCACAACGATCTTTTTTAGCTTTGCGTCTACGTCTGGGGTGATAAGCCCCTCCTTAGCAATGCTGGTGAGAATGTCCTGGTGGCTGGTTTTCATCATGCCCATAAACTCCTGCTCAAACTTCGTGATCTTTGCGGGGTCCATCTTGTCAAGATGGCCACGTACACCACAGTAAATGACTGCTACCTGTTCCTCAATGGCCATGGGTACTGAAGAGAAAAAATAAACAAATAACAAAAGGAAATAATGTCATTTGCAGGAGATTTTTAAGTGATATTTCTCAGTACAATATATATATATATCAAACTTTATTTCACTCAAACATACCATACTGTCCCTGCTTCAGCAATTCAGTGAGGCGGACACCACGGTTCAACAACTGCTGGGTGGAGGCATCCAGATCTGAACCAAACTGAGCGAAAGCTGCTACCTCACGGTACTGGGCCAACTCCAGTTTCATGGAACCAGCAACCTGTAAAATGTTTTCATGAATTTTGGGTTTCTAAAAAGCAGTATTTTGTAGTGCTGATGTACTAAATAAAACAAAGTACAGTACAGATATGAGAAAACAATCCATGTCAGAAAGTAAGTATGAAGCCCAATAGTCATGCATACATTGAAACAATGGTTTCGGTTAACGAGCAACCTTCTGGAACGAATTGTGCCCGTTAACCGAGGGACCACTGTACACCACAAAATTAAGGAACAAGTCTTTAAATTTCAAATCAATATTTTTTATTCACACCTTATAGACATTAAAAACCTTGAACCTATCTTCTAATTTGTAGTTTCATAAAATACTAACACTTTAGATTAAAGAATGCCTTACCTGCTTCATTGCCTTAGTCTGGGCAGCAGAACCTACACGAGACACAGATAGACCGACGTTGATAGCAGGACGAATACCCTTGTAGAAGAGCTCAGTCTCCAAGAAGATCTGTCCGTCAGTGATGGAAATGACATTGGTAGGAATATAGGCAGACACATCACCAGCCTGGGTTTCAATGACTGGCAGGGCAGTGAGAGATCCACCACCATTTGTGTCATTCATCTTGGCAGCACGTTCAAGAAGACGTGAGTGAAGATAGAACACATCACCAGGGTAAGCTTCACGGCCAGGGGGACGACGAAGCAGCAGAGACATCTGACGGTAGGCAACAGCCTGCTTTGACAAGTCATCATAAATGATGAGAGCGTGTTTGCCATTGTCACGGAAGAATTCACCCATGGCACAGCCGGCGTAAGGTGCCAAGTACTGCAGTGGAGCAGCATCAGAAGCAGTGGCAGACACCACAATGGTGTACTTCATGGCATCTGCAAACATCAGAAAACTGTCAATACAAGAGCAAATCAATCCAACTCAAAACAAAAGCAAGATTCAAGAAGTGCATCAACACCAGGGCTGACATTTATGAAATTCAAGAGAGAAGCTCAACATTCATCAAAGCTCAGTAAAATGTTGCTAACTACAGCACACACACCAACCAATTCTCAACTTATTCATTACAAGATCAGCCAGACAATGAATTACACAAAAAACATTAATTCCTTCATCTATGTTGAAAAATAAACCTGAATAATGTCTGAAGATTATTTAGTTAAACCTACATGCACTATACTAAAGACTTCAAGCTATTTGTACAAACACCATTGATTACAAAAAATACGATTGCTTGTCAGTGCAAGTGTGTGTTTACATAATTAAGTCATCTTATGACTTAGGTACAGAATTGAAACAGTTACATTCCAGTATCATGTCAAATAAAAAAATACCTTAATACTACATCTTCCTCATTCTTACCAGCATCAGTGAGCCTCTTCACAATTTGGGCAACAGTAGATCTCTTCTGTCCAATGGCAACATAGATACAATACAGTTTCTTCTTTTCCTCAGCACCATCGTTAAAGCGTTTCTGGTTAATAATTGTATCAATGGCAATGGCAGTCTTGCCTGTCTGACGATCTCCAATGATCAATTCACGCTGGCCTCGGCCAATTGGCACCAACGAGTCGACAGCCTTAATGCCAGTCTGCATGGGTTCCCTTACAGAGATACGTGGGATGATGCCAGGGGCCTTCACACCAACACGTGCCCTGTAAACAGAGGAAACTATTATATTTCTGAAGTATTACCCCAAGCAGGTTTAGTCTAAGTAACCTAACCAAAGGAACAAGTCATGAATTATACAACTTCACCTCATGTTAAGTCTCTAACTCTTGGGTTAAAATTTTTAAAAATATATATATGAAATTACAAATGAGCAATTGTATGTACCATTTTTTTTGGCTTTAATAGCATTCTTAGCAATTAGCATGTGTTAAGCACACACACACTTGTCACTATTCAGAGAACAGAAAAGTTTCCCATTTTTCTGGCATTTGTAAGATTCTTTATCCTCAGTTTATTTTGTATGACCCTGCAAGTTAAAATATAATTTCCAATAATCATACGAAGTCATTCTCCTTGGAAAAGCCTTTCATGGTTCGTAATACATCTACCTAGGTGACAATTTAAAGAATATCAAAGGAAGGGGGGGGGTGTCCAAGACGACGTGGGTGAGGGGAACATGACAAGCACAGTGAGCCCACCCAGTTTTTTTTTTTGGGTGGTGGTGGGGGGACACTGTTAGCCCCACCCCCTCAGAATATTTTTTAAATCTGACTTTCTATAGAAATTCCTTTTACTATACAAAAATGCCTGAATACAATACTGCATTAAAGAAAAAGCATTGAAATTTTCTGATGGGGGGTTCCTTTAACCCCCCCCCCATGTACTCTTCAGATTCCAGAGTATACATGCCAAGAGGTATAAAAATAATCACCAAGTGTCATTTACTACCTTATGGTCCCAATCGAACTATTCTCATTATTTCTTAGGCCAGATATTCCTCAATTTGAGCCAATTTGATTTAAATGACAATCTCTGTCTATTATTAGCCTTGGATAATGAGAACCTCCTATATGTACTTTTAGGATCAGTTCTATGGATTTACCTCTTTCCTCCAGTAATGGGTCCCTTGCCATCAATAGTATTACCCAGAGCATCAACGACACGTCCAAGAATACTTTCACCCACAGGAACGTCCACAATGGCACCAGTACGTTTCACAATGTCACCTTCACGAATGAGCTTATCATTACCGAACACCACAACACCAACATTGTCGGGTTCCAAGTTCAGGGCCATACCTGGAACAGATGCAAAAATAGGTAAATATGATCAATGGCAAAAAATTTTCTCGACACAAAACTTAAATACACGAGAAACAAGGACTGAATGTGCATAAACTTACAATATTATTACATCATAGGGAGAGCAAAGAAGGTATAAATTTGAACAATAATATGTATCTGCTTACCTTTGAGGCCAGAAGAGAATTCTACCATCTCCTCTGCCTGGATGTTCTTGAGGCCATACACACGAGCAATACCATCACCAATACTCAGGACACGACCAGTCTCCTCCAGGTTTACCTTGGGGGCAGCGCCTGTGTAGAAAATAACACCCAGTGACCTTCAGTCATGTGAACTTAAAATTATACAAATAATTTCATAAAAATAATTTATTTTTTGTCACCGAGATTTCAGTTTAATGTTTATTAAAACTTGAAACTATGACCAGTACCTGACTTATCATCTATTCAACTTTGTTTCCTCTAATTAAGCAGTAGCTATTAGAATTGAGGTAGATAAGTAAACAATATGATCTAATATGTTGTTAATATCACGAAAAGAAACAAATTTATGAAAATCGTCATTTTGGGGGGGGGGGGCTATCACAATCATCTATTAATTATGTTATGTAAGAAAAAAATTCAAAGTTATTACACCAACAAAGACCAAACTCTTATTAAATTACCAAGAATGCGCTCCTCCAGGATGGTGGACACCTCTGCTGTATAGGTAACATTGGTGGTAGAAAGTTTGCGGGAAACAAGAGAAGCTGCTGGCAGAAGCTTGGCCACCTGAAAATATTACAAGCTTTACTCTCAGGATCTTTTACTGAAAACAATGACAAAAATTAAATTAAACAAAATGTATTCCTCGTGTACTTGAGGTAAAAAAGCGTCAGTAGTGGGGAATTTCTTGAATTAATTATAGCAGATAGCATCCGATCGCATCTAGAGAAAAGCAAATTAATCTACGACTCAACATGGGTTTACAAAAGGAAAATCTTGTCTAACAAATCTGCTGACGTTTTTTAGGAAAGTCTTCGAGGTAGTAGATAATGACGAAAATTACGATGTTATTTACTTAGACTTTAGCAAAGCATATGACAGAGTACCACATCAGAGGCTTCTGAGAAAAATTAAGGCTCAAGGTATCAATGGGAAAGTTTTAAATTGGATAAAATCATGGCTCACCGATAGAACTCAGAGGGTCAGCGTAGATGGTGTTAAATCTGAGTGAGGCCGTGTATCCAGTGGGGTTCCCCAGGGGTCAGTACTAGGCCCACGCTTGTTCATGATCTACATAAACGATCTAGATACTGGGATCAGCAGTGACATAAGCAAGTTTGCGGATGACACCAAAATAGGGCGGCAGATTAATTCAGGGCAGGATGCAAATGCATTACAGGAGGATCTAAATAAACTGCAGGGGTGGTCTGAAAAATGGCAAATGAAATTCAACACCAGCAAGTGCAGCGTACTTAATATTAGAAGAACAAATACTGATAATGTATACAGCCTAACATCAACCTAGAGAAGTCGACTTGTGAGAGAGACCTAGGGGGTACTTGTAAGCCCGGACCTCAGCCTAGAAAACAGTGCGTTAATGTTCGAAATAAGGCAAACAGAGTATTGGGTTTTATATCTAGAAGTGTAAGTAACATGAGTGCAGAGGTCTTATTGCAACTATATCTTGCGCTAGTCAGACCGCACCTTGATTATGCGGTTCAGTTCTGGTGCCCTTACTATAGAATGGATATCAATTCACTAGAGTCGGTGCAGCGAAGAATGACAAAAATGATTCCGGGACTTAGAAACCTTCCATATCAGGATAGGTTAAAGAAACTTAACTTGCATTCCTTAGAAAGACGAAAAGAGTGCAGGGAGATAGAAGTATTTAAGTGGGTGAAAGGAATCAATAAAGGGGATATAGATAAAGTTCTTATAATATCCGAGCAGGATAGGACTCGGAGCAACGGATTTAAGTTGGATAAGTTTAGGTTTAGGAGGGAGATAGGAAGAAACTGGTTCACAAACAGGGTGGTGGATGAGTGGAACAAGCTTAGCAACTTTGTAGTAAGTACTGGAACTCTGGAAAGTTTCAAAAGGAGGCTAGATAGATTCATGGATGAAAGAGAGTGGTAGTAACTCTCAACAGGAGCTGCTATGCACAGGCCAACCGGCCTATTGCAGACTCCTTATTTTTTTATGTTCTTATATATTTATACTTTAAGCTGGAGCAAAGCAGAGCATTAGTGGTTGGGTTAATATTCATTTCCATCCCAATCGGATGTTTTACCATTATCACTAGGATTCTTTTATTTTTTAGTTAGGAATCGACTTTCTTCTATGGCAACAGGTTACCGGTAGATTAGGTCGCCCAGTTAATATTCGTTTTTATCCCAGTTGGGATAAAAACGATATTTTTACCACTGGTTGTTTGGGTAAAGGCGTAGAAGAGGGTGACCACCAGAAGGAATTGTCCGAATTGGTTGAAATTTTTTCTACACACTATTATATTACACAAAAATGTAAATGACAATGCATAGAACCTAATAGAAAATGACTTAACATAACCATAGGTGGGGTATGTTAGGTCAGGTTTTATTAACATCTATGCATTATTTTGTATTTATTTTTTTATATAATGCTAATATATTAAACACAAAGGGAAACGACAAAGCATAGAACCTGAATCTTTGTATATACTCTATGCTGCTTCACAATTCTCCTCCCGGAGCCATTTTTTGTTTAACTCGCCGAATCCCTCTTCAAGAGACATTTCCTAAATGATAGTGAACGCTTCCACATATTCCTCCTTGCCATTGCTGATGTATATCAACCTAAATATTCAGACAAGTTGTTAAACACAAATTAAAATGATAATGCATAGAACCTGACCTAACAAACCCATAGGTTGGATATGTTAGGTCAGGTTCTACGAATTGTCATTTCCATTTTTGTTTAATATATTAGTAGAAAAATTTTCAACCAATTCCTCCTGGTGGTCACCCTCTTCTACACCTTTGCCGGTTTGTTTTTATTTACCAAATTATTTACGTCTCCAATGAGCGAAAATTAGTTGTTGCAGTTCTGTACACATGAAAAAATAATTCTCATATCCCAAAAGTATCCCGGAACAACCCTAACGGTAAATCCCACTTTTTTTATACACAATTTCCTTAATAAATGTACAGTTTAGCTACAAACATGAAGATTCAGTATTACATAATAAATTAAATGTTCAACAAAATCCCCAATCTGCTAGTTAAGTGACGCCTGTGTTCCTAACAACAACCTTCACTGATAATTGCTATACAATGTTATTAGAATAAGGTGCTTAACTTAAATCAATATCAGGTGATCCAATTTTCATGGGCGTCCACCCCAGAAAGATTAACTGCTGAAGTAACAATACTACTTATAATGTCTCCCTGTTGCTTATCTAATGGCATTAATGTAATAATCAAAAGAACAAATAATGTTAGCAAGTCATGTAGAGGCGGGTGTAAACCATAGTGGATATAGTAAACAATTAATAGTCAACTCGATCAGCTGATCTGGTGGGCCAGCACCAGCCGGCCGGTTGGGAGTACAACACCTATAAACACTCGCCTTTTTCTTGTTAAAAAGTATTTATCTAATTACACAAGTCCTACTGTCACTACATGTATTTATGATTTCAATATTACCTGAGGGGTGCTCCTAGGTAACTGTCTGGCCACGGAGGCGGCAAGTCGTGCGGAGAGGAGAGCCATCCTGTGATATCCTCACTGGCCGAGCAAGATGGAGGAACGAACACTTGGTTGTGGCTCAGACCGGCACTACAAACCACCAGTAAAACCTTTTTTATAATTATTTATACTTAAAAAGATAGTTGGAGTGTAAATTACTCACAGTACACTAAAAAAAATAACTTATTTCTATATTATTATGTATGATGAAGAATCATGTACCAAAAGATTAATATAATATAGTATGAATTTGGGTACGAGATAGACGGTGGGTGGGGGGGTTGGGGGGGGGTTGGGGATGTCGTCTGCAGGGGGCTACAAATGAGGGAAGTTTGTAAACGTCAGCGAAGAGGAAACCAAATTCCCGGTGTTTTACAGCTTAGAGAAAGCCCTTATGTATGTGTGAGCATGTGTTTTCCAATTGAAACAATATTTCGCGTCCATACAAGCAGTAATTCTACTATCTTGTTGATATTCATAATTTGTCACCAGTCCACAGTATTTGGACAAAAATGTAAGCGTAAGCAACTAGAAGAAAGTCTATGATATCGGTAAAGAGCTTTTTATGCTCAAATGCATTTAATGGTGTGGCTTATATACCCCAAAATAATAGATATACAGTATACCACCAGGAATAGCTTTAATTTATAACTCTGGTTGTAAACATGAACGAGAGAAAACGGAATTTATAAGTGAGAGGGGAACCAAAATTATCTTGGCCAGTGAGGTTGATGCCAACTCAGACGGTGACGGGCGCCGGCTACTGTGACAGACGTGTACCACATATTATACCTCACTTTGTGGGTATTTTAAGAAGCATTATATTGACTTGAAACTTTAATCATTACTTACATTTACTTACCCTTCTCGCCCCTGGTCAGCTTACTAGCCGGACAGGCATTTTTTTTAAGTTGTACAGTAATTAAAAGAATCAGGCAATTTCTTTCATCAATATACTGTACATGCTTACACTTACCTAACTGATCAAGTAAGCTATGAATTAATATGTATCTTGTCAAGTAACCGTCAAACTCATTTGATGTTACAACTTTGTAAGATTATATTGTGTATTTCTCAATCAGTTTGGTGTTTACAATTAATATTTGTAGATATTTTCATAAAGTAAAGTTTCAATGGTTGGTATTTCAACATTCAAGCTGACTGTAATATTTTTTATCATAGTCTTACTGGCACAAATTTGATCTCGTATTGTTGACAGCGAATGTTATGTGTGGTGGCTGGTTGAACTTGGTCTTAGTTTTGTATTTTTTTTTACAGGATTAACCCACCTAGGCACAGGTCAATGACCTACATCAGGGCCTGGGGGCGAAAGTATAATACTACTACTACTAATAATAATAATTTAATAAAAATTAAAAAAATATAATAGTAATAATTATGATGATAATATTAATAAGAACTCACATGAAGAGTATTACATATAGGTAGAATATTTATATTAAGAGGAATGTAAAGAGAGGAAGAGTTTGGTAGCGGGGCCGGTTAGTGATTTACACTGTCAATACACTTACATTATCTTATACGTCAATACACATCTATTACGTTCTTAAGGACGACTTCTCAAACACCGCTTCCTTACAACTATTTATTAATTACGACATTGGCATGGACACATTAATAACACCTTCTATCGAGGTTACGAGGACATTATTTACGTTACTAGGACAATATATTTACGTTACTAGACACTGATTCTCGAACACAAACATGAAATGAATACACTTCCCACGTAAGTAACTCATCCTATGGATAGCGCTGACAAAAACTCACGTGACCTGAGGAAGGCCTAGCAGGTGATTTTGGGCTGTGTCTATGGGAGACTGCTTAGCTGTGACACCGGTGTTGGGAGGGAAGTCGCCTTCTTGACTGGAGGGAGGGCTTGCGTGACTCTCCCTCCTGTGAGCAGGACTCGGCTGGCACCTCTAGCTGTGGTGGACTTCCTCCTGTGATCCCTCTGTGTGTGTGTGTGTGTGTCGTGAGGGAGGGCTACGACGTCCTGTATATTGGGAGACGAGCCGTCAGTTTGAGCTGATCGGGCGGCAGCGAAGGGTCCCCTTACATTTGACCTCACTTATGTAGGGTCAGGTCTGGACTTTTTCTGAGTTGTAAGTTGTTGTATTTATTGGAGGCAGGTGGCCTCTTCTGCTGACTGGGTGCCTCTTAACATAGTTGGTGGGGCCGTGTGACAGGGATGCTGGCTGATTTGTAGCTCCTTGACTTGCGGCTGCGAGGGGTCCCCTTACATTTGACCTCGCCTATGTAAGGTCAGGTCTGGACTTTTTCTGAGTTGTAAGCTGTGGTTTGATAAATAAACCTTCATTACATATATATGCAAGTAAATCACTGTAGGTGCGCGTGATCCAAGTATATGCTGATAACCACAAGGAAACTAGGGACTTGATCTCACTCTCCATACATAAGTACATTTGGTAAAAGGTGCAATGAAAAGAAGAATAGACACGAAGAGTTTCAATTAATTTGTATTCCCAATGCCAGTAATTATCTCACACTTTGACCTCTCTACTTATTTCCTCAAAAAATTTCTTATGCAAATTAGCAGCTTCTTCATCATCTACATTTGCTACCATTCTCGAATGAAGCTTAAGCATCTCTCATGCTTAAGAGCTGCTCTGTGATCTCTCTTGATAAGCTTAAGCTGACTAAAAGGGGTCGGCTAGTCAGCGACAAACATCGGTTGTAGTTGTGGTTGTAGGGGAAATATCCACTACAGTATAATTGTTAATCTTAATAGAAGGTGGTCAATAAACAAAGAACCATTAAGAAGTGTTATAAATCCCCCCCCCCTCCCCCTCTTGGTGTTGAATAAAATATTTGTCATACATGCCTTTGGTGCTATGCAGTGATACAGTGACCCATTAGTAATAAAATAACCATATCCAGTGTCCTCAAGTGTCTCAGTTACCACATGTTATTCCTTAGTCCTAGCTTATTCCCTCCTCCCTAAGACTCCCCTCATCCTCCCTTCCATATTTTCCCTCAGTATGGTGGAAGGTTGACCATTAGGAGTGATTACCCACACTCCTACCTTCTCACATTCCATAGTCCTCGTTCTCTCCCTCACTCCCACCTTCACTTGTCGAAACAACGAGTTTTAGTTAGTTTAACAAATTTATTGGCAAAGCTTGTAGTACAGTTTGCCTATTCTGAGTAATTGAGTCAGGTCTTGACACCTAGGGTGGTATCACTTCTCACTACCACGCAGGACAGAGGTTCATACACAAGGAAAGAAATATATCATGTCCATTAACAGCTATATATGTATAGAGGTCAGATTTATGTGGGTAATGTCACTGTTCACTGCCATGCATGACAGGTTCGTACACAAAGAAATACATCATATTCATTGACACTATATATAGGTCAGATTCATGTGGGTAATGTCACTGTTCACTGCCATGCAGGACAGAGGTTCGTACACAAAGAAAGAAATGCATCATATTCATTAGCAGTATATATAGGTCAGATTCATGTGGGTAATGTCACTGTTCACTGCCATGCAGGATAGAGGTTCATACACAAAGAAAGAAAGAAATACATCATATTCATTGGCAGTATATATAGGTCAGTGGTTCACATACATTGGAGTCATATTCTAAATTGAAGACTAATCAGTGTGGGCTAGCAAATTTGGGATAAACAGCAAGAATGTCCTCAAGCACCCCCGATTCAATGTAGTAATTACAAAGTTCAAGATACAATAAGTCAGGTGGCCTGAAGTCTTTGACAGTGTCACATTCAATAATATAGTGTTCAAGTGTATGTTTTAAAGGTTTATCACAAAGTTTACATGCTGAGTGTTCCGGTATGGGTACAGCGTTACTAACTTGCCAGATGTGTCTATATCCTAGCCTAATTCTGGCCACGACTACATCACATTGTCTGGTTCTGTCCTTATGCTGGCCATACCGGTACCTCTTGTCACAAAATTTGTCATATTTACTAATGCTACAACTGCCAGGTCTCTCTGCATTTCTCACTTCTTCTAGATCAGTTCATGATTCTGACTTGAATGTTTTTAATTACAGCATTGGACAGGCCAAGGTCACGGTCAACATTTTCTTTCTTACGTGCCTCATTGGCCAGTCTATCAGCACGGTCATGATACCTGATTCCAACATGGGACGGGATCCACACAAATTCGATACGAAAGTTCTTCTCATTGGCAGTTATCACATTCCTTTTAATCTCACATACAACTTTAGACATAGAACCTGACAGGCTGTTCATTGATTTCAAAGCACTTTGAGAGTCACAGAATATCATCCCACCTCCATTTTCTTTAAGGTAGTCTGTGGCTAAGTAGATTCCAGTTAGTTCAGTTTGTGTTGTGCTGGACCAGTTGTTCAGCCTTTGCTTGTTTGACACTATCATCTCTTTTTCTTTATATATTATAATTGCACAGTAAGAGAATAAGAAGAAGAGAAAGAGAAATGAAGAAAAAGTAAATAGAAATGAATAAAGAAAATAAAAGGTAAAATAAAAGATATATAATACCTTTTATTCTGACTTAAATTGGAAATATTTTGATGTCCATAAATGACTACATAATATCTGTTCTTAGAAAATACGTATTACATTATAGCAGGGGAAAGCATGAAAAGATTGCTGATATTTACTTTTTATTTTTTCTAAGCTTCATTACAATCATCACATACAATGCAGCCAACACCACAAATTCCTTCATTAAACTGGCGTTGTTTACATCTGATCTTGCCAGAGTCGCAAATAAAGTGTTTATTGCTTCATAGTTCGACGTACATGGGGTGTGGCTTGGCCAGCTAGCTCTGGGCTGAACATTATTTTCTTTGAGTCTCCCTGACCCTTCTCACCAAGTTCTCTGATGACACCTGTCTCGCTACACGTGCCTCTAACAAAGGAAAGAGAAGTCAATTGTGAAAATACTCGAAGTCCATACCTTGGTTGTTAGTTCAATATTCCATAATTGTTGTTAGTCTGTATCTGGTTGTTATTTAAAAGTTTATTACTTGTTACTAATTAATATTTCATAACTGCTATGACTGATGTTAGTCAATAACTGGTTGTAAGGCTGAAAACCAATAACTGGTTGATATGGACGTAGGGAACAGACTGCTATAGTTCTTGGAACTAAATATCACTGATTTATAGTGTTCAGTGAACGAAAACTGCCGTAGGAAAGGGAAGACGTAACGCAATTATTTTTTATGAGTATACGAGTATTTTAATACACAGATTATGTAAACTCACTGGCTATTGTTGAACTAAGTTGTTATACTTATTCAGGAACTCATCAGCTTGTGCTTCTGTAAAGTTGAACATCTCCAGGAAACTGATGCTGAACCCTGCAGTTTGAAGTGACGCCAGGGTTCTCCCTAATTTACCTACAAAAATAAAAAAGATGTAAACATAAAGCTCCTCTACTTTGTTTTCGGCGTGATGTGGAAAATTCTATCTCCTAAATTAACATTTGTTTATTTACTAAAAGTTAATAGACAACGACTTCATAGCAAATTAACCAAATTTCAAGAATTATAGTGTTGTTGTTTAGGAGAAAACCATATAACACCTAAAATATGTTCGCTGGTAAACAGTCACGTGTCTGAATAAGGATACGATCATACTGTGACCAGTGTTTCCAATTTAGGGTTCAAATCCCCATTTTAGGATAATTAGACCTCTTATGGGGTTAAATTTGAGGTAATCAAAATTGTTCAAAATCTAGGGTAATCGATGATTTCTTGGGATATTTTACCCATTGTTGCAGTTGTAAGTAAATTAATACGAAAATATATACGTTTTCTTTTAACACATTACTGTGCAGTGCTCTCACTTTTACGGAAATGGACAATACCTTGATCCCAAAAATGTTGTAATCCTTCAGCCACTGTCATTATCAAAAGTACAAAACTGTTTGATTTTTTACCACAGCTGTAAGAATTGGCTGACAAAATTGGCTGGTGTGGGGTGGAAAAGTATTTATTTGCTTGATAAATTTTCAAGTCAGCTCAAATGCATAGACTACTACTGGAACAGTTGTAGTGGATTTCTCCCCTACAAACGCTTGTCGCTGAGTAGCCGACCCCGCGAATTCCGCAGTGTATGCCTCGTGGTCTAGGTCAACCAGCGCCGCCTTACATGACGGAGGTCAACTATTAAGCCACGCCTACCTCCGCTATATAAGACCTGACCTCGTGGTGACTGACCTCTCTTTCCACCTACACCAAACAGCCAGCAACACCTCCTCCTCCTCCTGCCTGGCGGCCCTCGCTCCCGCCGGCTGAGCATAACGACCCCCAAGCTGGTCCTCCTCCTGAGCACCTTGCCAACTACCTCTTTTTCACCAACCAGCAACAACATTTCCTCCTCCTCGGCTCGCACCAGCGGCTCCACTCCAGCCGGCAGCATGGCGACCCTGAGCTGGTCCTCCTCTGAGCACCACCACCAGCAGCCTCTCTCTACATCACGCTTAACAGCCACTGCTTCCAGCACCAAGCTGCCTGTATCAATACAATATGTAGAGAGCACATTGTGAGTTTCCTTTCTCCCATCACCATCCTGAGTGTGAACCCAGCAACCCGTACCCCACAAATGGTGACCCCCGGAGAATCGCACTCACACAGGATGGAGGAGAAACTGATCACTCCCAGTCTTCAAGCAACATGGAAGATTGGCTTATCCACACAGAGGCAGCTCTCATCGGCTCTACAGCTCCTGTCTCTACACCGCAGGTTAGACACCCCAGAGCAGCCCTGCTTCTCTAAACAGATACCAGCTCCTCTTCCTGCCCCAAGCACAACGTCCTACCGACCCCACCACACCCGTCCTGCCTCAGACGCCGCCCCGGTCCAGCAGTAACCCCTGCCACTGTCCTGGACCCTCCTCAGCTCCTGCCTGGCAGTCCCTGCTCCCGACGCGGCCCATGCGCCTCAGTGCAGCCCCACACACCCTTTTTTTTCCCTCAGGTACTCCCTGCTACTGTCCTGCACCCTGCTGCTGTCATGGACCCTGCTGCTGTCATGCACCCTGCTGCTGTCATGGACACACTTCCTAAAGCAGCCCCTGCTCCTGACCTAGGCCCACACACCCCAGCAGGCGCATCTGAGGACTCTGTACCTGTCGCGAGGGAAGCACAACATTCATCGCCTCCACAACCCTCCTTCTCCCTCTCTCCTCCCACAGATCTTGTGTATCTAGACAGAGTTGCCCCCCCTAGCGGCCGGCTCATCCACGCCCTCGCCATTATGTCTCACATGTGGCATGCACCGCCCGTTCTGCCTCACGTGTGCCATGCAACCCTGCAGAAAACAAGTCTCCTACACCGCCTGGAGGGAAGGGGAGTATTATAGTGGATTCCTCCCCTACAAACGCTGTTTGTCGCTGAGTAGCCGACCCCGCGAATTCCTCAATGTATGCCTCGTGGTCTAGGTCAACCAGCTCCGCCTTACATGACGGAGGTCAACTATTAAGCCACGCCTACCTCCGCTATATATAAGACCTGACCTCGGTGACTGACCTTCTTCATTCCACACAGTCAGCCAGCAACACCTCCTCCTCCTCCTCCTGCCTGGCGGCCCCTCGCTCCCACCGGCGAGCATGGCGACCCTGAGCTGGTCCTCCTTCTGAGCACCCTCACTAACTACCTTCTTTCTACCTACAACCAGCTAGCAACACCTCCTCCTCCTCGGCTCCTGCCTCAGCCCCCGCTCCAGCCGGCGAGCATTACGGCGACCCATTGCTGGTCCTCCTCTGAGCACCCTCACCAACCAGCCTCTCTACATCACGCTTGTAACCACGCTGCCACTTCCCAGCACCAAGCTGCGCTGTACACCCAATACAATATGTATACAGAGAGCACATTGCGAGTTTCCTTTCTCCATCCCATCCTGAGTGTGAACCCGTACCCCACGACCTCACGACAGTGTCACATCAGACACTTTTAATATTGATTGCACGTCACTGCAGCACTTCGCAATGTTAAAAGTAAAGCAAATTTGTTGAGAAACTGGAAATGAGTTAATTAATGGTAAGTAGATGCTGGAGGTGACAGTGTTACTGAGGACTGTATACAATGATACAGTGTATAGGTGTTGGAGGTGGTGGTGTTACTGAGGACTGCACTGTAGGTGTTGGAGGTGGTGGTGTTACTGAGGACTGTATACAGTGTATAGGTGTTGGAGGTGGTGGTGTTACTGAGGACTGCACTGTAGGTGTTGGAGGTGGTGGTGTTACTGAGGACTGCACTGTAGGTGTTGGAGGTGGTGGTGTTACTGAGGACTGTACTGTAGGTGTTGGAGGTGGTGGTGTTACTGAGGACTGTACTGTAGGTGTTGGAGGTGGTGGTGTTACTGACTGCACTGTAGGTGTTGGAGGTGGTGGTGTTACTGAGGACTGGTGTTGGAGGTGGTGTGTTACTGAGGACTGCACTGTAGGTGTTGGAGGTGGTGGTGTTACTGAGGACTGTACTGTAGGTGTTGGAGGTGGTGGTGTTACTGAGGACTGCACTGTAGGTGTTGGAGGTGGTGGTGTTACTGAGGACTGTACTGTAGGTGTTGGAGGTGGTGGTGTTACTGAGGACTGTACTGTAGGTGTTGGAGGTGGTGGTGTTACTGAGGACTGTACTGTAGGTGTTGGAGGTGGTGGACGAGGACTGCACTGTAGGTGTTGAGGTGGTGGTATGAGGACTTGTACTGCAGTGTTGGGTGGTGTTAATGAGGACTGTGTTCGGTGTTGGAGGTGGTGGTGTATGAGGACTGTACTGTAGGTGTTGGAGGTGGTGGTGTTTAGGACTGTATTAGGTGTTGAGGTGGGTAACAGGAGGACTGTGTCGGTGTGGAGGTGTGTTTTACTGAGGACTGTACTGTAGGTGTTGGAGGTGGTGATGTTACTGAGGACTGTACTGTAGGTGGTGATGTTACTGAGGACTGCCTGTAGGTGTTGGAGGTGGTGATGTTACTGAGGACTGTACTGTAGGTGTTGGAGGTGGTAGGTTTGAGGACTGTGTCGGTGTTGGAGGTGGTAGTGTTACTGAGGACTGTGTCGGTGTTGGAGGTGGTGGTGTTACTGAGGACTGTACTGAGGTGTTGGAGGTGGTGGTGTTACTGAGGACTGCACTGTAGGTGTTGGAGGTGGTGGTGCTACTGAGGACTATACTGTCGGTGTTGGAGGTGGTGATGTTACTGAGGACTGTACTGTAGGTGTTGGAGGTGGTGGTGTTACTGAGGACGTACTGTAGGTGTTGGAGGTGGTGTTACTGGAGGACTGTACTGGGTGTTGGAGGTGGTGGTGTTACTGAGGACTGTACTGTAGGTGTTGGAGGTGGTGGTGTTACTGAGGACTATACTGTCGGTGTTGGAGGTGGTGATGTTACTGAGGACTGTACTGTAGGTGTTGGAGGTGGTGTTACTGAGGACTGTACTGTGTGGTGTTGGAGGTGGTGTTACTGGAGGACTGTGACTGTAGGTGTTGGAGGTGGTGGTGTTACTGAGGACTGTACTGTATGTAGTGGTGTCAATGGCAATTTACAGTCTTGCTCTAATTCCACAGTGAATTTGATCGAGGGGCTAAGTTGTTAAGTTGTGGCAGGAAAGCTTTTAGGTCCTCATTACATGGCCAGAGACATAATACATCATCAACATATCTAAACCAGACTGCTGAGGGTGGTAAAATATTACTTAATAGTTTCTTTTCAGAATTCCATATATAGGTTGCTTAATACAGGTGAGAGTGGATTACCCATTGCCATACCAAATTTTTGAGCATAATATTCCCCATTGAATTCGAATTTGCAATCCTTAATACATAGTTTGATGAGTTCTGGATGAAGTCTTTCGAGACGGGCAGTGAAATGTTATCCAGGGAATCTATAACTCTAGTAAATCATCAACTGGGACCTTTGTAAAGAGTGACGTTACATCAAAGCTGATCAGTTTAAAATCATGATTAATGTGTAAGTTATTGAGTTTATCAACCAGATCCATATTATTCTTGATATTGAGTTAAAAATGTTGCCAACTAGGGATTTAGTAAAAGAAACTAACCATTTAGATAGTTTATAAAAGATTGACCTCAACTGAGCTAATGATGGGTCTTGCTGGGTTATTGGCCTTGTGGGTCTTGATTACACCGTACATGTATGGCAGTGGAGGGACGTTGAAGTAAGATGTTTAATGAGAGTAGCTTTGCCTCTCAACAGGGACTTCAGTTTTTGTTGAACTGGGTGTTGACAGTGTTGGGAGGATTATTTATGAGTTTAGAATATGTTGTAGTATCACATAAAAGTCATTCATTTTAGAGATATAGTCATCTTTGTTTAAAATCACTACTGTGTTGGCTTTATCTGCTTTAGTGACATGTAGATCCTTATTTTCTTAAGGGCTTGGATTGCTTTGGTGAATCTTTCTGCACAGCTAAAACCTGTGGCATTTAACTCATGCACTGTTAAACAAATGATTATCAAGAACTCCCCAACAACAACACAATTGGGTTGCATTTATAAAGTTCCTTGCAAGGAATGTAATATGTTTTACTTTAGGCCAGACAGGTAAAGATCTTGCAACTAGAATTAAACAACACAAATACAGTGAAGTTAGGACAGGCTGTAATCCAATGCTCTGTTTGTTCATTTGAGGGATAAAAGCATTGCATTGACTGATAATGCCTCCTCAATATTACGATGTAATTCAATTGATAGTAGGAACATCATAGAATCTAGTCTTATTAAACATACCGAAGCATTCAACATGAATTTGAGTAACGGCATGTACAAGCTGGACAATTTTGTAATTAAGAAGATTTGTGATCAGTTGAGAAGGCCGGGTCACTTGACCATCTGACCTGACCACCAACCGTTGTGTGCTATTTAAAGATTAGTAGGGTCATTACCAATACCTGACCATGACCTGGTCTCACCTCATCTGTATATATACACCTTGATTTGTATTATTTCTAGTCTGTACTTCACCCCTGAAGATGTGAATAAATTAAGCGCTTAGAGAATGTGTTTTCTTCTTTCCTTAGAATAATAGCATATATATATATATATATATATATATATATATATATATATATATATATATATATATATATATATATATATATATATACCGTTAATGAATACCATATCGTTTCCCATTATTGATCTTTTTTATGGTCTTTTATTATTATTATTATTATTACAGGTTGACAATCCCTTATCCGAAATCCTTGGGGCCAGAGGCATTTTGGATTTCGGAATTTTTCGGTTTTCAGAATGATTTTTATTTGTTTTTGTATTAACCCACCCGGGCACAAGTCACTGACCCACATTGGGGCCTGGGGGGCGAAAATATAATAATTATAATAACAATAATAATAATAATAATAATTCATAGGCCTAGGTCGGGTTTCTCACTTTTTATCTTTTTTCACTCTTGTATTTCTTTATTATTATTATTATTATTATTATTATTATTATTATTATTATTATTTTAGTAATACAGTATTATTGCTATTAGTTTTATTATAAATTTTATTATTATATTTTATTATTATTAGTTATCATTATTATTTTATTTAGGTGTATTTTTTATTTACAATTTTTATTTACTATGAAAAATTATTATTATTATACTGTAATTAGTATTACGATTACATTTTCGCCCCACAGGCCCGATATGGGTCAGTGATCTATGCCTGGGTGGGCTAATCCCTGTTTAAAAAAAAAAAAAAAAAATGCTCCACAATTTTGTTTCGGTTTTCGGAATTTCAGATAAGGGTTATCAACCTGTATTATTATTATTATTATTATTATTATTATTATTATTATTACATTATACTATATTTTTATTTAATATTTGTTATAATTCATTATTATTATTATTATTATTATTATTATTATTATTATTATTATTATTATTATTATATTTTCTCCCCCAGGCCCAGATGTGGGTCATTGACCTGTGCCCTGGTGAGCTAAATCCGTAAAAATATAAAAAATAAAAAATAAATAAAATAAAATAAATAAATAAATTAGATGGTCCATGGTCTTCAAACAAGCAATTCTGTATTTGCAGTAGTTTATTTATTCAGCGCGTGAATCATAGTAGAAGAGGACCAGCAAAGCAATTATCTGGAGCTGTACAGTTGAATTATTAGTTTTGACCATAACATTTCGGGTAGTTTAAATATCCTTGCGTATAACATAGAGGTTTAAGGCTGCATTCCAAATCATCTGACATCCTTTTGTTATTTGCTTATACCAGGGTATTCTTCCATTAAATCAGTGCATACACTACTCAGGTTTAATAATTGCAGTATATAGAAAGTGTATTTAATCTTCAGCGAATTTGATAGTGTGACAGTGGTTAAATTATTTAGAACTGCGGTAGAGTAGGGCCTCGTCGTTTTACTTTGCGTATTTGTATGGGGTGGCAATCATTTTACTAATATATTATTGAGGTATATATAATTGCTACAGGTTTTTCTTCTGACGTCCGTACTGCTAATTTTATGTGTTACAGACCCGGGGGAAGTGTGTCCCCAGTAAAAGAAATAGCTGGAACCATTGGAAAATTAGATAAAGCCCACAAGATAGAAAGTGTGGACTTTGAAGACAGTGCACGACACATTGCAAATAGTGAACTCAGTATCACCTGATGTAACATTGTGAGACATACAATACAACACAACTCACCTGATGTAACATTGTGAGACATACAATACAACACAACTCACCTGATGTATCATTGTGAGACATACAACACAACACAACTCACCTGATGTATCATTGCGAGACATACAACACAACTCACCTGATGTATCATTGCGAGACATACAACACAACTCACCTGATGTATCATTGTGAGACATACAACACAACACAACTCACCTGATGTATAATTTTGAGGCATACAATACAACACAACTCACCTGATGTATCATTGTGAGACATACAACACAACACAACTCACCTGATGTATCATTGCGAGACATACAACACAACTCACCTGATGTATCATTGTAAGGTATAAGGACAAAATTCATCCCACTGGAAGCTTGAATCGTGTTATCACTCACATTAGAAGACGAGAAAAACAGATTCATCTCCTAGAATATGAATAAAATAATAAATAGTTTAGTTGAAAGAAAATGTAGCAGAGATTGGATAATATTTGTTTACTTTAATGATCGTGGACTTCCTTTTCATTTGTTGCTTCTCATAATTAAAGTAAACTCGTTATCATCGAGATTCTGTCGTATTGATTACTTCCGTTATTTATCTCATTATTTACGTTTTAATTTAGTTTTGTTGCCACTAAGTAATAACAATGACACCTTACTTAATCTAACCTAACTTATTTAACTTAGGATCGCTTTGCCAGTTTAAAACTAACGTAACCTGACTTCTGCAACTTGTCCTACCCATACGTACTGTAGTCTAATTAAACTAGCCTATCCAAGGAACACCTTAACTATCCTAAATATCTAACCAAACCTAAGCTAACCTAACCTACCTTGTGTAACGTAATCTACTTAACCTAACTTAAGCTACCTAGCCTAACATAACCCATCCTAAAAAAAACCGAATGTATTCTCATTTAACCTAACCTACCTTAACGATCTCAGAATATATTTCTGTTGAGACAAGTAAGGATAGACAAGTTAGGCATGGATTGATTGGTTCAATGGGCATGATATCGCAGTCTGCATGAGAATTGCGACACTTACTCAAAAATGCTGAAAACTTTGTATTTATTGCCATTAATGTAAAGGGTGAGTTGTCGAAGTGGGACTAAAAGACACGGATGACTGTAAGTGATAAGAACAAGTTTCTGTAAAAAATAATGCAAAAAATAAAAAAATCGACCACATATCTAAATTAACTGTGACTATACGGACAGATGATTATGTAAGTAATATAAGAATATTTAAGAAGTGTCAATATGAAATTATGTTGTAAAGTTGCTCCAAAATTGCCTGGACACTTTTAGCCGTATCTGTCACGTGCTTGTGAGTTATATAGAGTATGCAATTGGTTTATAGCTAATGCACACTGCTTTTCATTACAATTTATGTCAGGATAACACCATAGAAAAGAAAATGTAATACTATGAAGAATCTGAGAGCATAGATCACTAAACGTTTAGTCACTGACTCTGGTGGCGGAGTCTCCAGTGCTTGACCCGTGAACTGCGTTACATAGTCGATTGGTCCCGAACTTTTCTCTGATGGTCTTCGGGGAATCTTCACTTGCAGTCTCATCTTTCACGGATCCTAGCATCTTGCGCCACCGAGCCACGGCGTCTTGTCCTCTCAGCTCCATTCCCACAACAGGGCCACTTGTGACGTAGTCCAGAACATATCTGGATAATAAAACTGTCATAGCCTAAAAAGGATTCTACTGAAACATTTTAAATTATTAATAACTATACAACAGTGAGATTAAACAATATTTTGAAAAAATGGCTTGATTAAATTTATAACGCTTAGTTTATGTTATCCGATAATGAAATCAATGATATATAAATTGCTTTGTCTGCCCTTTACGTTTCAGGTAACTTTGAGGCAGCGTGAATTAATGAACTACTGAATAGATTCTGTATATGGTACATTAGTTAATTTACGAGTTTATTAATTTAGTAATTAAAGGGATATTTCAGGGGTTCAGAGGTAATAAGATAATGTTTTTTTAATCATGTGTATGTAAAGCCTTAAACTCAGTGCTATTCCAAATTTGAAATCCTAAACTGACCCTTTAGCATTTATATAGAAATATTCAAGAGGGTTGTACATTAATTTTAATTTATCATTTCACCACTTACCAGCATACTAACCTTTTGGGCAGTTGGTTTGCTCTTTGTTAACAAGACTTTATTGTCTAGTTAACGCTGGAGGAGGGACAGGAGAAACCTATGATGTTTGGTAGGGTATTAGTGTGTTACCTACGGGTCAAGACTCTAACCCAAGACACAGTAGTTAGAGAAATACGCACGTTTTATACATATACAATATACTGCTATGAGTTATAATTGTGCGAACTGTTACCATACATAGTCCAAAAGTTTATCCTATGGACCTTGTCACATGTTGATCAAACCTACCAAGTTTGGTGCCATTCTACAAAACCCGTTCTAGAATTATTCAGGGGAGCTGTTTCAATACCAGACTTGACCAGTACTGGAACAGGTTCAGATACATTCAGGAGCCAGTCCATGCCCAGTACTTGCCAACAGTGCGTAACAGAGACGTGACCGACCGCCTATGCAGCTAAGTTGCCGAACAGTGGCGAAGAGGATAAAAGTATAAAAGTAAAAGTAAAAGACAGACTGACAAGCCTGAAAAAATACACTTTAGTGAAATAGCAACACCAATAATCAGTTACGAGCTGTTAAAGACCCATCCACGGACTGAGTTGTCATATAACAACTTCTTGCTGTGCATCGTGGAAATGTGGAACAGTTTACCAGAGCAGATAGGTGTTCTGGTCTCGAGATAAGCTAACTTTCGACAGACGACTAGATAAACTCTGGACAGATCAGTATATCATAAACAATACAGTATACTGTACAGTACGTAGCGCCAGCTTACTCTGAGATAGATTAATACTACGTAAGACAGGGTGTGGTGACTTACCACACTGCCTCTCTGTACTGAAAGCTTAATATGATGTATCCACAGAGCCCCGAACAGGTCGTCAGGGCTAAGGGACCCACATCCTTTTTTTCAATACTGTATAAGCAGATGAACACACAGACAGACATATATAAACATAAACGTACTGGTAGTGAGGCTTGCCAGTAGAACCTGTGTATAGCTGGGCCGCCTGTTTCCTCGACAACCACGCCATCTTCATGCGATTGATCTTCAACCCGCCAGCCTCTATCATCTCCACCACGTCACCCAGTCTGTGTACAGTGTCAGGTTTCACCATCGTAAAAGTGCTGAAATAATGAAAAATGGAACATGGAATTATAATTTGTTTTCTTATTTCACAAAAGATAAAAAGCTTAGCATCACATTTCTGTGTGTTGTGATTGTAGATGTGTTGTCTAATGGTAGACCCTGCTGCCATATGGCATCACAAAACTTTTGACCAAGTCCCAGGTTGCTGATTTGACTTTCTGCCTCATTTACACACAATTGTAGGGTCTCAATTGTTTCTCTTAATTTGACAACACAACATACATATATCGTTCCACACTATACAAGCTATGAAACTATCTCCTCCTATTACCCACTCCTCTTTCATTACTTCTAGGAATCGTTGTAAGGTTATTCTTCGTAGGACCAAGCGGAATTTTATAAAAAGAAAGACCGCTGTCCTGACTAATTCTTCCTCTAGTAAATCCTACTGGTCCTTAACCAAAAATATCTATAATACCTTCTGCACTCCTTTTCCCCCTCTCTTCCGACCTTGGACGATTCCCACTCTATCCCTCCTACCCCTGCTCCTCCAACTGAACCTATGCACTTTCCTATAATCTCCACTCGCAGGGTTGCCGGTGTGTTATCCAGGTTGGCTGTGAGTAAGGCTCATGGACCGGACGGCATACCCCCTCGTGTTCTGAGGGAGTGTGCTGTAGCTCTGGCCCCTGTGCTTGCTTGCCTCTGCCTCAAAACCCAACTTTTCCTTCTTCTTGGAAGCATGCCTTGGTTCAGCCCATCCCGAAGAGGGGGTGACCATTCTAATCCCTCAAACTATCGCCCCATTGCCCTAACTACATCCATCTCTAAGATTTTCGAAATTATCTTGAATTCCCATTTTCTCCGTCACCTTGAACGCCATTCTCTTTTGTCGGATCACAAATATGGCTTTCGCCAGGCGAGATCTACTGGTGATTTGCTTTCCTACTGCACCCATCTTTGGTCATCCTCTCTTAGGGATTATGGGGAAACTTAGTCGTGGCCCTCGACATCTCCAAAGCATTTGACAGGGTATGGCACAAGTCTTTGCTTTCTAAACTTCTCTCTTATGGTTTCTCTCCCCCACTTTGTTTTCTAATCTCTAGCTTCCATGAGAACCGATCCATGGCAGTTGTTGTCGAGGAATCGATCTCTCGCTCTTTCTCTACCAATAGTGTTGTCCCACAGGGTTCTGTTCTTTCACCTACTCTCTTCCTTCTTTTATCACTGATTTACTTCACACTACAACTAATTCTATCCATTCTTACGCTGATGATTCTACTCTTCACTCTTCTTCACATTTCCCCTTCCTCCTAACTCACAAACTAGATCTGTTTCTAGATCTGATATCATTACATCTATCAATGCGGATCTGTGCAGCATCTCCGTATGGGGAGCTAGAAACTTGGTTAAATTCAATAGTAATAAAACTCAGTATTTACCAATTACACTTTCTAAATTAGATGATCTCCCACCAATTACATTTCAGGACGCTATCATTCTGCCAAATTCTAAAATAGATATGCTAAGCCTCACCATTTCCTTTAATATGTCAAGGAAGCCACACATCCTCAACATTGCTAAAGCTGCCTCCCTAAAGTTGGGAATGCTGTACAGATGCCGTAGCTAGAGCAGTTACTTCAAGTATATAAGGGATTCATTCGTCCTAACTTGGAGTACTGCTCTCATATCTGGGGTGGATCTTCTTCTGTCCAACTGTTAGATAAGGTGGAATCAAAGGCATTTTGTCTTATTAACTCTCCTCCTTTAGTTGACAATCTTTCTTCCCTTACTCTTTGCCGCAATGTTGCTTCACTCTCTCTCTTTTACAGGTACTTTAACGGGCAATATTCGGTGGATTTGGCATCCTGTGTACCGCCGGCAAGGTCGTGGGCTCGTAACGCTCGTCTTGCCCGCGGTGCCCACCGTTTCTCTGTGGATGTCGGTCACACTAGAATAACCCGTTTTAGTACATCCTTCTTTCCTCACACAGCCAAACTGTGGACTGCTCTGCCTTCTTCTGTGTTTCCATACTCATACAATCTGCCTCACCTTAAAAAGCTGGTTTTCCGGCATCTTCGTGGTGTAGATTAATATAACCGTTCCTTTTCTATTTTTAATTTCTTTTTATTCTAATTTTTTCGCCCCCTAGGCCCCGTTGTGGGTCGTTTGACCTGCGTCCTGGTGGACGAATTCCCGTAAAAAAAATCTTGCCTGGAAGTAGTTAACATCTGACCTTAAAGTGATTAATATCTCACCTTAACGTTCTTAATATCTCACCTTAAAGTGGTTAATATCTCACCTAGAAATGGTTAATATCTCACCCAAAAATGGTTAATATCTCACCTTAAAGTGGTTAATATCTTACCTGGAAGTGGTTAATATCTTTACTGGAAGTGGTTAATGTCTCACTTGGAAGTGGTTAATATCTTTACTGGAAGTGGTTAATGTCTCACTTGGAAGTGGTTAATATCTTTACTGGAAGTGGTTAATGTCTCACTTGGAAGTGGTTAATATCTTTACTGGAAGTGGTTAATGTCTCACTTGGAAGTGGTTAATATCTCACCTGGAAGCGGTTAATAACTCGCCTTGAAGTGGTTAATGTCAGCCTGGAAGTGGTTAATGTCTCACCTGGAAGTGGTTAATGTCTCACCTGGAAGTGGTTAATGTCTCACCTGGAAGTGGTTAATGTCTCACCTGGAAGTGGTTAATATCTCACTTGGAAGTGGTTAATATCTCACCTGGAAGTGGTTAATATCTCATCTTCAAGTGGTTAATTACTCACCTAAAGCTGTTGAATTGACGCATTATATAGTTGAGGTAGCTGCTGGTATCGAGATGGTACGGGATGTACTGCTCCGTCTGCTGACTCACCATGTCGCACTAGTGTGTACATCAAACAAAGTGGCCTCCCTTATAATCCGGCAGCCAAATGGCAAAACTGGGCCTCACCAAGAAAAGTTTGCCATAAAAGGTTTTATTGCATTTAATGGTAGGTAAGGGTCCCTAGATCGAGATTCCAGAGGATGTGGTGTTCTCACCCTGTCGCATTTTGAAAAATCCAAGATGCACGCCAAATGGCTTATATAATGAAATTTTAAAATTTCCACATCTCTCCCATTTTTGGAAACTAAAAACACATTTAAACCACCAAATTATATTTTCTAAATATGTTGATTGCATTTTTGGTATAAATAATTACTGAAAATATTTTTTTAAAGACTTTGGAACCTTTAAGAGCTTACGTTGGGTAGGATAACTAGTAAAGCCTCAGAGTTCATAGTTGGGGTATAACCTTTGTTTAAACACACGGAATACATATACATGATGTACATGTGTAAACTTAAGGATTAGAACAAAATTGTATTCTCAATAGGCATGCAGTAAAAAGAAATAAAAACATTGAGGGGCATTTCTAAGTGGTACAATTATAATAATTCAAAAAATATCGATGAAACAAGGCAGCAGAAAGTTAAGATTGTTCACAAGGAAGAAACCTCTGGCCGAATTGACTCACATCACCAATGATAGAGTGTCTGTACATAGAACACTCGAAGCTTGCATCGATCCTCTTGATCCAAAATGTCACCAAGAACCACCTGTTAACTTTGCCATTGGCAGGGTTATCCCATCAGAAGTTAACCTAGACAAAGTGGCCAGAGGGATTCTATAAACGTATAAAGAAGTAAAAACATCCACAACAATAAAAGGAACATGTTCTCCGTCGGTGATATCCCTGTATATGGCCAGGAACCATTGTCCTGCTGGTAAGTAAACGCGATGTAAACTTTACTGATGTAATTGCAAATGAACTTGGAACATTTACACCCTTTATGTTTGACAGTAACGGACATATGCGCATAGCTAAAGCCAAGTCAGCTTAGAAAACAAATCTGTAGGTTACAGTTGGACGTACTTCAGTGTTTGTGACTGACGCATCTGCAGTTCTTTGGACTATTAACTGGCGAACTGGAGGAATGGTGCCTATTGGTGCGAAGCTTTGCTGACAGGGCCAAATGCCTACTGGAAAAAAAATCCGGTCCGACGAATATGTGGTCTTTAATAGGTACCGGGACTACAGCACAAAAATTGTGATTCGAAAGAACGATAACATGCGAGTAGAGTTTCCCAGCTCACCAGGCGACACGCCATTCCCTCAAATAGAAGTTGAACTCACAGTTACAAAAAACAAGATCCAGCTTAATCATTTCACATGCAAGGACTTACTTGAGGACACTAAGTTCCATATTGAAAACACACAGGTTCATAAGTTAGTTGTTACTGGAGATGACCCCATTCCATTGGAGAGCGATAAAGGTATAATTACCCCACGCCTTTGTGCAACATCATTTCATGAAGAAGCTGACACTATTTTAGTTCAGCAAGTCATTTCAACAGCTAAACAAAGTTTTAATGTCTGTACCAGCCTCAGTACTGGCTGATGTTTTGTGAGCCCACTGTTTTTGCCGACATTCAGTCATTGTCTCACTATTTGCAAAGTGTTTCCTATAACCTAAGTTCATAAAGGTTCAAAAGGTCTTTTGAAAAATATTTTCAGTAATTCTTTCTGCTAAAAATGCAAATCAACATAATCAGAAAATATAATGTGGCAGTTTAAATGTAGCTTTAGCTTTAAAAATGAGAGAGATATGCAAATAATAAATTTTCCTACCATTAAACGAATAAAACCTTTAATGAAAACCTTTTTGTCTGGTTCGACCCCTTGGCTGCCGGACTACCGGTATTTTTTATTTTATTTATTTATTTTTTTTGGCAACCCCCTACATCCTTGTGTAAGGTGAAGCGCAGAAGCGTTTACAGCGCCCAAAAGGGAAGCATGCTAAGATCATGCTTGCCTTTATGTCTCATGAGTCAAGGGCGTAGAAGCCTGAGGAGTCAATGGTTTTATGTCATCAAGTTATTGGAAGCTCCAACAACTTGTCCCTGAATACGAATTCGCAACTTTCGATTTACACCAGGTACCTACTTTACTGCTAGGTGAACAGGGATTGATGGGGGGCTTGGAAGTAAGTCCAAACAACTTCCCCCGGCCCGGGAATCGAACCCGTGGCATCTCGCTTGCGAGGCAAGAACGGTACCTCTTCTACCACCAGTTCCGGATTCATCACCAAAGTACAACCCATGTTGTATTGCTTCCCTCCCTTATCATATTAATGTATATCAATTCCACTGTAAAATATGTTTATACTTACAATATAAATTAAAAAATAAAATAAATAAATAACGAAGTGAAAATCTTGATAATATTCTGATATGTTCTTACTAACACCATGTTACATGTACTATTCCAGATGATACCAAATGAAACACTATTTTCTTGAGATATGTGTATATAGCAGGTGCCATTAAAAGAGCTTAGGCTCTCATTTGTCTCAGCCATGTCAATATTGTTATTAATATCGACTCTGTATCTGTATTTTTCTGGCTAAATAAACTCTTTCAATATCAATATCAACTTCGATATGGGGAACAGGCATACCAACATACGACGATCAGTAGAGAATAAATCAAAGCATTTCGTCCAAGTTTTCAAATTCTAAACACGAAAAATAACGATATGTTTTGGGTTCGAGTCATTGGCCGGCGGAAGTTGTTTGGACACTCTTCCTAGTCCCCTTGGTCCCTGTTCACCTAGCAGCACAGTAGGTACCTGCTGTAAGTCAAAAGTTGCGAATTCGTATTCAGGGACAAGTTGTTGGAACTTCCAATAACTTGCTTAGACATAAACCATTGACTCTTCAGGCTTCTACGCCCTCGACTCTTCAGGCTTCTACGCCCTTAACTCATGAGACATAAGGCAAGCATGAACTTAGCATGCTTCCCTGTTGGGCGCTGTAAACGCATCTGCGCTTCACCTTACACAAGGATGTGGGGGGTGCCCAATAAATGAAAAAAAAAATGTTTTGGGGGGCTGTACTAAATTACTTGAAGCGGCAACTCGGCATTTATACTTGAAACAAGGGCATGAGTCTAAAATAGTTATATAATGTACTTTCAAGAGTTATTACCTCACAGATTACCTATTTATTAGGGCAGAGCAAAATACTAGGAATTATAGAACAGAAAATTTGGATACTTTAACCATATACAGTAATTGGCATGAAGTGGTAATGAGAGAAATACTATTAAACGTGATGGAGGGTAACAGGACTACCCGGTAGGTGAAGGCAAAATCTAGGAACAATGAATGAAATTAAAAGTTGTGGTCTAAGGAGAGAGACAATCTGAGTGGATTGATATAGACAGCCCGAAAATGTTTGGAGTGGAGACAATGGTCACCAACCCTCTGGCATGAGGATGACACATTCATTGATTGATTAATGATTGAGAGAAGTTCAGAACACATACACCACAACCAAAGAATTTTTTATTTCAAAACGTAAAAATATTGACCAACAGACAGCAATATGTTTTTAAATAAGTAAAGACGAGTGTATGTGGTCAATTAGCATAGTACGCATTATCTAAGTGGTGTGGAAGATGTTATATAAATACAGTGCGTGAATTAGAAGGTGTTATGTAAATACAGTGCATGATGTGGAAGGAGTTATATAATTCCAGTACGTGATGTGGAAGATGTCTTATTAGTACAGTGCGCGATTTGAAAGGTGTTATGTAAGTACAATGCATGATGTGGAAAGTGTTTTATAAGTATAGTGCGTGATGTAGAAGATGCTATATAAGTACTTCGCGTGATGTGGAAGGTGTTATATAAGTACAGTGTGTAATGTGGAAGGTGTTGTAAGTACAGTGCATGATGAGGAAGATGTTAGAAGTACAGTGTTTGAGGTGGAAGATGTTACATAAGCAAAGTGTGTGATCTGTGATATGGAATGTGCTTTAGAAATACAGTGCACGCTGTGGAAGGTGTTATGAAAGTACAGTGCGTGATGTGGAAGGAGCTATATAATTACAATATGTGATGTGGAAGGTATTATATATGTACAGTGTGGGGTCACGTCGAAAGTCTTCTATCCATGCTAGGATATTTCCCCGAATTCCGTACCCCTCCAGTTTGATTTTCAACCTTTCGTGGGGTACACTGTCGAAAACCTTGGCAAATTCTAGGTATACAGTATATTGTCGATATTACGACCCCGTTCCAGAATATGGGTCCAAATATCCAACACCTTGAGCAATTGTGTTAAGCAGGAGTGCCCCGGCATAAAACCGTGTTGGCAATCCTTTACAAGGTTGTTTTGTAGTAAATGTTCCATCGCGGCCTCTCTAATAATACTCTCAAATACTGTACATATTATGCTGGTCAGGCTCACCGGTCTATAGTTGTTTGAGGAGTGACGATCGCCCTTCTTGAAGATAGGACTCACATAAGCAACTTTCCAATCACTGGGGATTTTTTGTTCATCCAGGCCTTTACAAAACAGGATCTTCAGGGGCTCGGCAAGCTCGTTCCACAACTCTCTTAGCACTCTAGGATGCACCATGTCAGGGCCGGGACTCTTATGGACCTTTAGCTTTGAAAGTTTATTTCTAATACCTTCTTCTGTGAACCTAATGTGGGTCAGTGCTGTGTCAAACCTTCTGTCCTCAAATGCAGGAAGGTTAATCGCATCCTCTCTTGTGAACACCGAGGAAAAGAAGCTGTTCAATGCCTCAGTTTTATCCTGGTCAGAATCTGTGTAACTACCACCTCCAAGCCTCAGGTCTGATACTCCTACTTGCGTTTTTAATTTTGACTTTGCATAGCGGTAAAACGCCCTTGGGTTTGACTTGACCTCGCTTGCAACCAGCCTATGGAACTCCTTTTCAGCCCTTCTACACTCTACCTTTGCTTGGTTTCTGGCTCTTGCATACATCCTCCTGTCCTGCTCATCGTTTGACCCAACCCACGTCTTGAGTTT